GTGGCTCCTCCAGCCGCCGCGCAAGACGTATACCCTTGGCCAGCTCGGGCCCGCAACGTGGACGCTCGGCGATAGCTGCTGCATCACGCGCACCGACTTCAGCGCCGTGTGCAACAGCGTTAGCACCAACGAGCCATATAGCGTGCGCGGCTATCTCTGGCGCGCCGCCACCGAGGTACACGCCATCGACAGACCCGACTCGTCGTGAGAGAGATGCATCGCTTTGTAGAGCCGGCCGCTGGTCGTCTACATGCACTCCAACATGGCGTCATCGATCGATGCAATTCCTGTGCGCGACGCATGTCTCGGTGCGGGCTTCGATTTTGCCACCTTTGACTTTGGCGGCTGCGGGCTCTCGACTGGCCCGTTTGTCACTGGCGGGTACGAAGAGCGACTGCAGCTGCAGGCCGTGCTGTCGACGCTAGCCGTGCTGGAGCCATCGTACAAGACGGTCTTTCTGTGGGGCCACAGCCTCGGCGCGGCGACAGCGCTCGAGTTTGCGGCCACGACGCGAGAAGAGACCCTCGTGGCCGGCCTCGTCCTCGACAGCCCGTACACGTCGCTCGCTGATATGATTCAAAGCTGCTTTGAGAACGCCAAGAACCAAGGACTGTACCTCCCGGGGGTTGTGCTGTGGATGACGATGGCGCTCGCACGCAAGAGCATCCAATCCCGTGCCGGCTTTTCCCTCGACGCTGTACTACTACACTACAAGTGGAAGCCGAGGGTCTCATGCATCGCACTAGGTGCACCCGGAGCATGCAAGTCGCAAGTGCACCATGCCCGCGCTCTTCTTCAACGGGTCCCATGATTTGTATGTCCCGCCACTCATGGCATCGCGCTTGCACACTGCGTATGCTGGCCACGCGACGCACTTGCCATTCGACGGCGACCACTACGGGCAGCGGCCGATTGGCGTCCAGAAGAGCGCGATCGCCTTTCTCAAGTCGCTCATCACGCGGGCGTAATCACACCAATTTGCACAACTTGCACGTGACAAAGGGCGCAGTAAAACGTGGTGACAGCAAGAGGCTTCGATATGTGCACGATGTTGGACCGCTGTCAAAGGCGGGTCGCGTCGCAGGAACTATGGCTCGCTCAATGCACTTGGGTGGCAAGATGGAGATGGCTCAAAGTCGATCGCCTTTTGTTCCGTCGGTGGAGTCCTGCTTCATCCGCATGAGGTGCGGGGATCGAGCTCCGTAGGGGTGTCCCTTTCTTCTCTTTCTGATTGCCGTTGGCATCCAAGGTGGTTCATCGGACATGGCCAAGACCAAGACCCTGGACATATCGTATGAACGAGAGACGCTCGCCAGGGGTCTACTTGGCAATCGCAGTGGTGGGTCGGAAAGGCATGTTGCACATGCTGGATGGGAACGTCGTCAAGCGAACCGTCAAGGACAGGACGTGGATGATGGATGGATGTATGATTGTCTCTCTAGAGCACGAAGGCCGTTCGGAGCTTGCGCATGTTGGCTTGAAACTCGCGCAGTTGCTTTTCGTAGAGCCGTCGGCCGTTGCGCCCGCTGCGTGCGCGCTCGTCTGGCGTCATCGCAAGCACCGTCTCGACCGCATCGCAGATCCAGTCGGACGGCACGTCCCACTCCATGGCGCCGTACATGCTCAAGAGCTGGTTCCTACGACACCAACAACAACAACAGCCATGGACGTCCGAAAACAAACAAGTACGGGTTGGGCTTCATCGTGCGGGCCTTGATGAGCACACCAGCGCCCGGCGCCACAAACTCGTTCATGGGTGGCCCGTTCGTCGTCAAGACGAGCGCGCCGGACGCGCGTGCTTGGTTGATATAGTGGCCGTAGCCTTCCATCTTGCTCGGACACAAAATGACGCTCGCCTCCAGCAGCAACCGACCAAACACGGGGCCTTCAATGTCCTCGCCGTAGTGAAATCGCACGCTACGTGGCGGCCCGTCGTCGCCAAAGACACCGTCAAAGTCCGCCTTCGTGTCGGGGTTGACCGAGTAGACATCAATCGGCGGGAGGTGCGGGCGCTGTCGCCAGCACTCGAACACGTTGCGCGTGCTCTTTTGCGCGCTGTGGCCGCCAGCGTGGAAGAATGTGATGTTGTTAAAGTCCTTCGGCTTGATCGGCGGCAGCTCCGGGTGCGATAGCGCATGCAAGCGAGCAACGGTCGACGGGTCCGACGACGTGTGCTGCACGTAGAGCACTTGGGTCCCCCGCGGGTTGCCAAAATCTTCGTACCTAATGCGAGCGTGAGCAGCCGCGGCGCATGGAGAGCCCGACCATTGGGACAGCCGCTCGTAGGCGTCGACGGTCTTGCACAAGACAAAGTCGGCGTGGTGGTACTCGTTTTCCTTGAGCTCAAACATCTCGACGTTGGGCATGAGCACAATCTTCTTGGTCTAGTACCATAGAAGACACGTTGTGCGTGGGATGGAGGCAGTGTATAGATGAAAACTACCTTTGGAAAGTCGGAGCGGTCTGGCACACCCTCGATGTAGTGGTTCATGAAGAGGATGGCCGACGTCGGGCAGAGCTCCAGGTACGTCATGTTAGTTCGACCTACCACGAACGCTCCTTCATGCTTGCATTTAGGATATGCGCCGCACCTTGGTAGTCGAACCGAAGGTCCAAGACCCACTCGGGTAGTGCGCGCGAGTGCAGAAACTTGACGTACGCCATGCCGTCTTCGCAGTAGCCGTAGTTGCGAAGCCCTTTGGGCAAGTAAATGTCGATCTCTGGGCACTGCGCGAGGTACTCGAGGAGCGCCGCGTCTGGCGTGGTCGACGTCGGTCGATGCCACACGGACGCCATGTCGGAGCTGTTGGCTTGCCACGGAATCACAGTGTCCTTGGCGTTGAAGCACACGTGGTTGAGATTGTTGAGGTGCACAATGTGGTCGAGCAGTGCTTGCTCGCTCGATGACCCGCGCCGCATCAGACGCGTCGCTGGCGAAGGAAGGCGCGCCGCCCCAACAAGCAACTGCAGGGCGAGGACGAGCGCAGCTGCAGCGAGGAGGAGGCCATAGTAGTAGTGGTGCGGACGCAGCCAGGAGGTCCCCTAATGGAGAGGCGGTGAGCATGCGTCTGGATAGCGTGGGCCAGTTTACCTTCTTGTGCTCCACCTTCATGGTGTGGCGGAAACCGGACTTGGGCCCGTGGCTCGACCGGCGAGTAATTTGACATGTCACATGGCCCGTGCTCGCCGCTTGCAATTGGCAATTGGCCAAGCGGCTCGCTGCTGCCTCAAGGCGTAGCGTGCGAGACAGAGCGTCGTCGTCGCCGTCGCTTGGGTCCATTTTAACAGCGGTGTGAGGCGTAAGGCGCGTCGGCGCGTCGGTCGGGGGCAAGACGATGTTGGCGGTAATTTCAGTGACCGCATTCTGGCGTTTCATTGGTCCACCAGTAACGTCGCGCGATTTCATTGGCTACGGGGCGGTTTGGCAGTGTAGCGTATCCTTGCACAGCCACGGCACTGGATTGGCTTAAAAGACGTTTATTTTCACTTTTTAGCCAATCGAGCAGCATCCACAACGGCAATCTCAAGTCAAGTCAATTGGGGATAAGTCGTCCATCAAGTAACTTGCCCTTGATGTCCATCGACACACGACTTGCCGGTCACGTTGCGATACGTAATGTCCTTGCCAATGCAGTTGGTATACTCGGTAGACAGCACGTCCTTGAATACCCATCGATTCCAAAGAGAAGACCGGTTCGGCGTCCCAAAACTATGGCCGAATGCGTGCATTCTTGTGCAGGCAGCCACAACCGATTGCGCGTACGTCGCTCGTGCAACGTCCGCCACGCTCGCCGTCGACTGCAAGGCAAAACAACTGTGACATCGAGTTTGCTTCAAGACTTTACGCGACGTCGTCGGATCCAACCAAGCGTTCTTGGATCTGAGGAAGGATCTCGACGACCGAACCTAGTCGAGTCCATTCCATCGTTGCGCGGCCATCAGTCGAGGTGCCCGAAACGCAGGTCAAAGACAAGCAAAAGAATCACAATCAAGTCGACATGATGCTACTACAAGTAGTGTCCACCTCGTCGCTGCCGCTCCATCGTGTCGGACAAGGGCGAAACGGAGGTGCGTGATTGGGTGGTCGCCGCCAGATGCGCTCGGCGTGCCACGTTTCTTAGGTGCGCGAGCCGCACTTTATCGGCCGGTCAATAAAACTGGCTGGGCTACGACCCTGTCTCTCACGGATCGATCGACGCCATTTGGTTTTCGACCATGTCCAGTCCCGATACGGAGGTACGAGCCCGATCGTCTGCAGCTCCATGCGGCAGCGCTGCGTAGAAGGTGCACCGGCGCGCCGAGTTGCGAAGCGCGCGCCACCGGCGGTACCTCCAGTACCTCGCGATGTGCGCGCTGCTTCTCTTGGTGCACAAGTTTGCGACACAGCAGCCCGACACGACCCGCCTCCGGCGAAGCCTCCCGCACCGCGCCCACGATCCAGGCAGTGACGTCCTCGGCGACATCATCCACCTCAACAACCTCAACGAAGCGTGCTTCCACGCTGGCGACGTGGTGATTCCGTGGACGTACAATAGCACCGAGGTCAACTCGGACTTTGTCTGGTCCCGCGACGACACGCCACGCAGTCAGCTCATTCAGTTTCTCGCGCAGTGTCCCGAGGTCGATGTTTTTTGCCGCCAGGCCTGCGCAACCACGGCTACTGCGAAGATGGCATGGCGTACGTCAAGTTTCTCAAGTCGCGCGCGCTGCCGATCTGGGTCTTTGATTTGCGCTTCGATTACCAAGGTCGACTCTCACCAACCTCAATCTCAATGTCTCTGGACAAGGATCCTAGATCGCAAGAGCATTAGCTACTTTGATTTGTGCCCGCACACGGCCATGATCTTTATGAACCACTACCTCGAAGGCATACCGGACCGCCCCAACTTTCCCAAGGTACTAACTATACTACCTGCGGCTCGGACGCCGTCGCTCAATATCGTTGATGTTTGCAGGAAAAAAGATCATTTTGATGCCCAACATTGAGATGTTTGAGCTCAAAACCAAGGAATACCAGCGCTTTGACGCGATCTTGTGCAAGACCCGCGACGCGTACGACCGGCTCACGCAATGGTAGTGCACGGCTCTGGAGAGTACTTTTGAGAGTGCGTCTCTGGTAGGTTTTCGGACGTTGGGAATCCACGCAATACGTCCGTCTTTGACGTGCAGCACACGTCGTCGGACCCGTCGACTGTCGCGCGCACGCACGCCGCCAAGCACCCAGCGCTGCCACCGATCAAGCCCCGGAGTTTCGAGAAGATGACGTTCTTCCACGCCAGCGGCCACAGCGCGCAGAAGAACACCAAGCGCATCTTCCAGTGCTGGGAGAGCCGACCGGATCTGCCGCCGATTGACATTTACTCCATGTACAGCGGCGTCAAGGAAGACTTTGATGAGATGTTTGGCGCCACGGGCGCACCCGCCAATGTTCGTTTTCACTTTGGCGAGGACATTGACGTGGCTCACTTTGGCCGCCTCCTCCTCGAGTCGAGCGCAATCTTGTGCCCGAGCAAGATGGAAGGCTTTGGCCACTACATCAACCAAGCACGCGCGTCCGGCGCGCTTGTCTTGACGACGAACGGGCCGCCCATGAATGAGTTTGTCGATGATGACTCTGGTGTCCTCATTGAAGCCTCCCGCCTCAGCCCCAACCGTACGATCCTATTTGTGTTGTTTGGATAAGAGGAGTGACCTTGCGTGCTTGTAGAAACCAGCTCCTGAGCATCATGCGGCATGGAGTGGGACTGACCTCGTTCGCGATTTGCGACGC